TATTATAATTAGCATCCCCTTCCGTTCATTTGTCTTTAATTTCGCTTGCTTTATCTTTTATACTGGGTAGTAATTTGGGATATGTATTTTAATAGATAAACTATTTCAGAACACTTAAAAGCGCTTGCCGTGTGACGAATATAAAGTTAAAACTATTAACGGCCAACATTCATTCCGTAGTCATTTCGACCGGGTTCGACTTTATGTAAAGTAAAAATCTTACTAAATCAACTACTTCCACCTGATTTGATTTAGGGAGGTCAACAAACTACTTGGCATGTGTTCTGTATAATCTAAGATCGTAGTGCAAAATCAAAGAAGAGAGATTCTCTTAATCGGAACATTTTAACCGACGTGCACTTCAGTTTGAATGCTGGGCCTCACAACGCAGCGTATTATTTAGTGATTTTTTTTTGGGGTGTGGTGGTCGGGCTGAAATAATGCATTTGTTTTGTGCAGCTCCCTGAATGTTTATTTTCCATTCACGTTTATGCACAGTAACACCACGAAGGGGCGGACATCCCAACTTGTAATAGACAAGCAAGTTCATCATATCATCCTCACAACCACAAGATTGCTTATATACCTTTGAGATATTCCGTCTTAAACATGGTATCTCATTCTACTTCTTTAACTTTAAATGTATTACTTTCAGAGAAAAAATGATGCATGTGGCAAGTTGACATCTGAGCGCACAAAGTGAGGGTTTCCCGGGTATAAGGTTCTGTTTTGGCTTAGACAGGCAGTTAAGCGTTAAATGATTCGTTAGCCGCACATTCTACTCAGATGTGGAGTCAGAGTCCGCAGCCAACACATTCACAAACTATGGCACGTGACATTTGTATGTCCAAGGCGATGTGAGTGGACTTTCTGCTGGAAGCTGTCCGACCTGAGTTTAGGGTAGTTTCCACTTACAGGGAGATTGTTTCCAATCCTAATGAAGCCGTGAATTCTCTTGGTGGGTTGCAGTTTAAAGTGAAAGGAACAGCATAATAATGATGTTAAATATTCCAGAACTTACTAAGAAAACCAATATAAATACTGAAAGGTCTTTATTTTGGAAGTTCGAAAGTAGGAGAAAAATGGCGACTTGATTGTCGTATCCTAATAAGTTAAAATGTGCACATTTAGTGGTACATTCTGAATAAAAACAGCAAAATGGCAATAATTTCTGGGTGTTAACAAACTCAGGGGTCTCCCAATAATATAGCGCCGTGCACGATGCCACTTAAATATATCAACATTGTTCAAACTTTTTTTTCCCTATCTTTCCGTATGTACTGTGCTATTTGATTGCTTGGACGCGTTATTACAATTTCTTAAACTAATGAGGTCTCTAACGTTCCTTTACAAATTGGTACTAAATCATTTGATCAGTGCTGAATTACTACAATGAAAGGATCGGCAGGTAATGACTTGCTGCCCCACACATTTCCGATGTCTAGCGTTAGGGACATAGAATGCGTACAGCTTGACCTTACAGCTCCTAATTAGAATGGGGCATTTGTGGAAGAAATCTATTCGTATTCAATTCAAACAAAACCCTTGGTCACCGATTCGCTGTAGGAGCGATGAAATCCATTGTATGAGAACAACTCATTTACGTCCTTCAAGAAGTAGGCGAAAGTGATTTGATCACGACCTTTAGATATGTTGGACACAGAAGTTGTATATTTCAGTGTCACAACAGACTGGTTAACAAGAAGGAAACGCTGGTGAGATATCAAATTAGAAAAATAATAATGAAAATGTTTTCCCTGTTTTCGGATTGCTGCTCTGAACAGTGGTTTACTTTACGTGTCTTGCATAACCTAGTTTTTATTGTAAAGTATGTTCCACTTTATCATAGAGACAAACACACTCGCTTGGAACCTATAATGTACATTTTGTATTTTTCGTATTTAAGAGTAAATCACCTGAGAAATCTCTGAGGTTTTATATTATGAAACAAAACTGGAGGCTTTTCCTTCGAGGCGCCACTGTGTGTAATTTCCCCCAACTTGGTTTGCTTCTTCCTTAGCTGGAGGATGTGTATACAGGATTTGTAATGGGTGTGTGTATCATATTCAATAATAAAAGCTATACGCCACCTGTGCATTTATCATCCCATTACTGTAACAAATCAAAGCTCCAATACATGAAAGGTAAAATGAATTACCGACGTTAAGCCGTCAATAAAGTCATTTCTGTAAATGGTGTCTCAAAAGGCTGGAGCATTATTCAACCAGCTTTATCAGCAGCTTCTAAATTACGTTTAGGATCTCTCAGCGTGTAATATCGCCCTGCTTACTTTGATTAAGCGTCTTGCCAGGGAATACTGACAGTGCTTTTGACCAGATTTTATTCACTCACATGTGATGAACGCCAAGCTGATCAGGCGGAATGAAGAGTAATTAAAACCTATAAATTATCTTTTGCAGCGCTTCTCAAGGCGTCTCTTGCAGTCGAGATAAGCCACCGATACTCCATTTACTGCATGAAAAGGACTGAATCCAACAATAGCTACGTGGCTAAATGGGATATTGATAGTGTCGTAATTAGAATTTAATTAAGTACCCAGGCTCGCTTTTGGGATAAAGATTTCAATTTTGCTAACTTAAATATAAATAAACCTTTGGTTCCAAAGGAAGCTTTTTTTTGTTAAAACAGCACCACTGTAATTGCTGCTTACTGTTCGTCTTCTTCGAGACAGCAGTTTCGTTATTTCCTATTCCTTGCAAAATGGTGCACGATTTCGGGGTTATTTTATATTTAACTTTAAAAGAGAAACTTTCAAACGACAACAATGATATTTACTCGTTATATTTTGCTTCAAATTATTCCTTTTGCTTAGAATAATTAACTTCTTGGGATATTTCTAAAACTTCATTGGTTTTATAACTAGCACAGTTGTTTAATTAAATGAAGAAAAAATATTTGCAGCATGATTTACTCTATTTACAATTGAAACTAAATACCAAGAACACAATGTACATACGATTTTGCTTCATTTTTTGGAGAGAAAACATGAGCTTGCCAGCATATAATTTTATCCAATGAAAATATAACGCGTCAAGAATAAATTTGAAGTGGATATCCCCATTGATGACTGGTGTTTCATTAAAACTGGGTTTACAGATGATCATTTACAGGCTATTATCAATCGTAATTTCATCCAAACGCGCGCAACGTTAGTCATAGATGTACGCTACAAGCTAGAATCTGAAATTTTCTCTTCCATTATTCTATTCCAAATTATTTGTATGCATACAAAATATCTATCATTACCCGCCACTGAGACTGCATTCCTTGCTGTAATGACACTGGGGACAACTACTGGCTCATTGTTTGGGTACAGCTATTTCGTCGATCCAAAACAAACATGGTAATGTGTTTATTCTTTGTGAGGTATTATTGTCTATGGGAGGGTATTGTTTACTTTTGAAAAATAAAACGTAAGATTTGTTCCTCTTTAAATGAACGGAAACCTATAGTTAAAGACAATGTAGTACATATCTTCTATTGCATTAGAAAAAAATGATAAAGTACCCATTGACAATATTTATATTCTTGAGAGAAAATCTACAAATTTTTATCAGATAATTATCTTCAAGTTTACTAATATTGATTGATTCTAAAATTTTCTCAAGACCAACATAAATAGTAAAACTAATACAACCTTATTCTATAGATACGGAATACGTGGTTTTGCATGACTACATTGTATCTTGTGAGTTTATTCATTTTGTCTCGATACACAAAACGTCATACATATTAACTGAAACACACATTGCCTTAAATATATTATTTCTTACGATTCGGTGACACAGTTTCGAAGGGGTACATCATATTTTGGATTCCTACCTCATCTTCATCCAAAACTTAACGAAGTCCTATTTGTCTGCAGCTGCCAATACAACAGTGCGCATTAATAATCCACCAGATGCTGGTAGCTTTACCAATAAAACGAAAGGAACGACAGCAGCGATTATACGGAAATGAAGTGCAAAACTTCATTAATAAAGGCAAAATGCAATTGTTTGTGCCTGGAGACACACGGTTCTAAACACAAAAACAGATACATAGATGTAAAGTATAATTGCAAATTCCGACTGTCGCTGCATCACAAACGTAGATGCGTTGAAACCTTATTAAATAGGAGTTTATGTAGAAAAATCTCATGGCAACTTTGGTACTCACTGTGTTTTGATTTACATTAAAGAATTCTGCTTCTGTTGTAATTAGTGTGTTAGCTATACTCCGCTTAATGAAACCTAGTTTGTTTGAAATGTTTCAGAATGAACTTTGGGGAAACTCCTCGTGTTTTTTGTTTTGTTTTGTGGAGGGATGAGGCCAGTTTCAAAAGAGAAAAAAAACCCATCAATTTTGGGGTTTTGGCTAGTTGGGTTTTTTTTGTGTGTTTTGCCATCCCCCTCCCCTTTTTGCTGCCGGGGTTCGGTGCTCGGGACACGGAGCCGCTCTGCCCCGCGCTCACTCCCACAGAAGCCCGGGGCTGCTCTTTGATTTATCTGGCGACGCCGAGGCTCTGATTGGTCCGCCTCGCCGCTGTCACTAGGAGATCACCCCGGGGACCTGACGCCGCGCCGGCTGATTGGCCGGCCGCACGTGTCCCGCCGCTCACGTGCTTCCGGTGGTGGAGAAAGTGCCGGGGAGCCGCGGCGATTTAGGAGTTTGCAAAGCTCCGCGGTGTCAGAGCATCGGCACGGACTGCCGACAAAGACCAGGGCACTGCCAGCCTCGCATAGCATCGTAAGTATGTAAAGTGGAGGTCCCAATAACTGCGTGCCCCCCCCCCCCCAACCCGAGCCGCCCGCCATGCCCAGTACATAGGGCAGCTGTCGTTGCAAAGTGAGCTTGGAAAACAAACAAAAACTGCCCCAGAGTCCGCCAGTGAAGGTGCTTGGCTTCTCTCATTTGGACTCCAGTCAGGGAGGGGTGGGGGGGAGGGGGGTTTGGGGTGGGGGATATAGTCGGCGAATATTTGACAGTTCCCTCGAACTATGGAAGAGCAGAAGGATCAAAACAATCGCGTGGAGAGTCGAGAGTCAAGTGACGGGGAGAGCGTTTCTCTCTCGCCCCCCTTTCAGTCTCCTCAAATACAGCCCCATGCCGCGGCGCAGCCGCCGCCTCCGCCGCACAGAAACACCAACTTCTTCATCGACAATATCCTGAGGCCGGACTTCGGGTGTAAGAAGGACAGGGATCGAGCACAGACATCGGGCAGAGAAAACGTCAATCCGCTCAGCAGGCCGTCGAACGCCTCGAGTTTGAACCCGAATTCAGACTGTACTGACAGCTCCTCTCAGCCCTCCAAGCAGTCCCAACCAAAGCAAAACGAAGGCAGTGGAACTAACTCGGCAAAGTACGCGGAAAACACTGGCTCTGCGCTTATGCTTGTGGGCGCCAATGCAGAACCTATATCTAACACTGATGGAATCAAATCAGCACCATCTCTAATGTGGCCTGCCTGGGTTTATTGCACTAGATATTCAGACAGACCCTCTTCTGGTAAGATATTTCATAGTTCTTATAACACGGGCAAGAAAATCGTGCACTTGAACAGCAGAAATCTATCTAACTGGCTACTTTTTGTTTTGTTCGATGTAAAATAGTAAATATGTCTGTGTAAAGACGAACGGGTACTGTATTTTGCAAAAGCAAGAATCTGTAGAAGCTAACTGTAATACGTGTAGCAATTTTCAACCCGGCAACTGCTCCTTAGCGAGGTACCCGCACGGCTTTTCGTTTATTTTTTCTAACTGAAATGTGGCATCGAAAAGACGCATGAGAGTCACGACCGTAAAATGGATAGAGAAGGTTCCGGTAGAAATCAAAGATTTCAGCGTTTCAGCTCAATAGTCATTAGGTTACTTATACAGTTTAGCAGTTGACAAACACAACGGTAAAACTGCGACATGAAGCGAAAGTTAAAGTTTTGGGCCTTGATGTTGATTAAAGCATTACAAGCCTCGAGGCCAGGGATTGTTAGACGTACAGGACTGTCAGTGCAGCTACAGTTTTACCGCGCTGTTAAGTAAAAAACTGAAGAGGCAAGATGCAAAAATTGTGATATTTTCACAAAGCATAAGACTCATTACTTGGAACTTTGAATGCATAAATGTTTGGTAATAGAGGTACAATTATTTCTGTTCCCTACTTTGAAGCCTTCATTTAAAAAATCTTATAAGGTATCAAGAAATAAATTGAATAATCTACAATAAACCAGGCTAGAAATATATTTATCTTTGTATTTTTAGCATTTGTTGTCGGCAAAAATCCCATGCCAGTTAAGGCTGTTTCTGGTGTTAGGATCCGTAGAAATTCATTAAAAAATAAATCGAACTACTTCGTGAGTATATTAATTCCTATTCATTAATATATGCCTAACATTGGTCTGCTGGGCCTCTCACAACGCAAAGAAAAAAATATTTCACTTGAAAATAACAGAGGACGACTTTCACACGCTCGGTATAATACCCAAGAGCGGCAGGGCATCACTTCCGGATATAAATAGCGCAGTCAGTCATAAATAACATTCCTATGAGGTACAAGAATTGGAAAAGCCTCGACTGGGGAAGTATTATGGGTCTCTTTTCGTGCACAAATTTACAAAAACCTGAGCGGATGGTGTGTACATTGCTTTGTGTGCCGAGGCCTGGCCGGCTTGCTCGGTCTGGGTTACTTTGTCGAGGATCACCAGAGAGAGAGATATCGGCAGAGATTTCTTCTCCAGGGTGAAAGCGATCCTGTAACTTTCCCTGGCCAAGCTGTGTAGATCGAGCTATTCATGGCATCGAGCTCTTCAAACTAAGAAAAGCCAGCTTGATTGACTAGTTGATTGATTGATTGAGTTGTCAGGCTAAACATTTAGCAAAACGTCACTTTTTAGCTTTTCAATCAAGTAGTAAAATGATTGTATTAACATTGCCAAGCACAGTTTGGGCATGATTTTCAATAGATGTATTTTTTGTGTTCTTAAAAGTTTATATACCCACTGAGTATGACATGAATGAAGGGCGTTTTGACGACCAGTTGAACATGTTAAAATCTAATCACAAAATTTGGGACACGTTTCGATTGCTGATGTTCTGGATAGTGTATTCACATATTTATCTGCTTTATATCCCACTCTTACTCTCATTTCACTGATTAGTCTCATGTTACCACATGAGGATATATAATAAAGAAGTTGCCATGACAGGATTAGCCAAGACAAATATCCTGTAAATCAGCGGTTTAACCGAAAGCCAAGCTTTACCTGGAATTTGACGGCAACACGCGCGCAAGAAGGAAACCACATAAAGTCCCATTTTATATCGCATGGTCCTATGTTCTGCACAATTTACACCGAGTAACACTTTTCGCTGAATGTTCCCTGTATTTTACATTGTTTTAAAGTTTGGAAATCTGCAGTCTGAAGGCACTGGCCTAAATTAACATGATTGCTTTATCATAAACTTTTACTGCAATTATAAGCAGAAAGCAGTAGGCCGATTAGATAGTGACAACGTTTATTGGAAATTGAAGCACTCTCAGCTCGGAAGTTGAACAGCTTCACACTCTAATTCACAAATTGTATTATGTTTACACTTAAAAAGGCGGCGCATTTTACCCATGTATGTGCAGGCGCATTAACTCAGTGCGTGCATTGGCAGAACCATAAATCCACGAATGTTTGAAAATAGAAAACAAAGGCATATTTAATTTCCGCTCAAGAATAATAAGGAATGCGGAGAGGGTCTCGTTCTGGCTACAATTATTTGTTTTTTTTTTCATTTTAGCCTCAGAGGAATGTTAATATTTTGCATATGGGTCACCTCACTATCCCTCTGGAAAAAAATGTAATATTAGCGTCTTATTTACATTGTGTTTCATATCCAATAACCGGTGGTGAGCTAATCAGATGAAAAAAAGCTAACCCTTTATAATGGGAATGAACTTTTATACGCTGAAAAACCGAATGATATAAAAGATGTAACATACAGAGCCAGCAAAGTAAAATGGCACACTGCAGTATTGTCTTAGGTGCAGAATTAAGCATAACATGGAACGTTCCTTCCTTGTAGCAGCATTGTTCTGATTGTTCTATTGTGGGAAATGTACTTTGCGCCATTTTGTTAATTTTAATTCTATAAATATGGCCGCCTATTTAAAAGAGACTATGTCTTCTTAGTCCATAATTTAACCGTGTGGCCCTCTGAAGGGTTTGAACGCATTTAGTTTAAAGGAAAATAATTAAAGCGTGACCATTTGTTTAATCTGTCTCCCTGTCGCGGTTTTCCCAGGTCCCCGCACTCGAAAACTGAAGAAGAAGAAAAGTGAGAAGGAGGATAAGCGGCCGCGGACAGCGTTCACAGCCGAGCAACTACAGAGACTTAAAGCCGAGTTCCAGACCAATCGCTATATCACCGAGCAGCGGCGGCAAACTTTAGCACAAGAACTCAGTCTGAACGAGTCCCAGATCAAAATCTGGTTCCAGAACAAGAGGGCCAAGATCAAGAAAGCCAGTGGTCTGAAGAACAGCTTGGCTCTCCATCTAATGGCCCAGGGACTTTACAATCATTCCACCACAACAATTCAAGACGACAAGGAAGATAGTGACTGAAGTTGTTCCGTTTTATTCTATTGAAATAAAGGACTGTGACAGGTGCTATTTAAATCCGATCTGCGTGTATCTATATGGACTGAATTATAATTCAAGCATTTTAAAATTATATATAACCAAACACATTATGGCGTTGTATATATTTAATTTCAGGTAAGGAGATGTCTAGCGATCCCTACTTGACCGAGATTTTATTCCTTTCGTTTTCAATGTTGTCGTTAATTGTTTTAGTCAATGTCAGTCAGGTCTAGAGATTTTATGTGAACCCGGTCTTATCTGAACTCGTTCAGAAATATAGAGAGACTACATAATGAATCGCCGCTACATGCCAAAGATTTTACTATGTTCAGAATGATGTAGCTTCAAATAAAATGTAGATTGTGCTCGGTGCACATTCTCACTAATGATCTGGTATCGTACTTGTTCTTTTCCGACTGAACTCCGGTTTTGGTTTAAGGGAACTATCCAAGTGCAGCAAGCATCAAAGAAAGTGAACTCAAAGCTGGCAGTGCTATTTAAACACACCAGCCAAACTCCCTGGCTGGGGTTTATGTCGCCACCGCAAATCTGGCATTTTTAGATAGGAGCCAACGTTGCTTTTGTAAAATACATCGCGATTGGATTTTATAATAAAACAATCCCGCAGAGTGTCATTGAACAGGGAAGTAGTGCTTATACATTAAAGCTTGTAAATAGTATGCAACCCTTTTAAATGAACCTAGCACTTCCGTAAAAAAGAAACCTTGAGATTTCTTATGATACATTTTTATGCACTGTTGCAAAAATAAATAAAAGTTATGTTGCTATACGTTTCACTCGAGTTCAGTGCACTTAACCTGGTGTGCTGAATTCAAATAATCCGTGTCCCGATTTTGGAGGCGCCGTTTCAATTTGCTTTCCTTGATTTTCGGTGAGACAGTGCATAGTGGCACTTCTAAAATTCAAATTGGACACATTGCTTTTTCGACACCCTGCATGTATGTTACAGAAAGATGCAAAAAATTCCCATTTTATGTATTCTAAACGCAAAATATATGTTAACTCCTGAAACAAAACGGCAAAGAATTAAAGGCAGACTTTTGTTTTATATTCCACTTTATTTTTGCCACCCTTTTTTGTATGGTCCCGAGATTGTTGGAAACATATTTCAAACTTTAAACTTTTCCCAAGGTTCTTTTTTAATTGGTGTAAGCCGTAGTATCATTTCCCATAACTGGAGCAAGATGGTCATTCAGGCGAGGCCTAAAATTATTGAATCCTTTATGATGTTTTCAAAGAACGCTTTGGGTATAAATGAGAATTGTCAATTCAGTCGTTGAGAGATCGCTTTCGGCAAATTTAACATTAAAAAAAACTGAGGAAACAATTAATATAAAGTTATCGTTTCCAGTAAAATACTTACTGGGATTTATTCTTTGAACCATATACTCGTTCTAATGCTCGTTCCTTTATCCATAATGATATCCAAATTATCAAGCAATTGATTCTCCACATTGGGAACGTTGATCCCTGTCGGTCGTACTGGGTTATAACATGGTACGAAAGAAATTTCCTGCGTTAACTATTTGCAATCACGCTCTAACAGCAAAGTGGGCTTCATATTTCGCTGCAACAAAAGCTAGCCGAAAAAATTTTCTAGTCACTTTAAACCACATCTTTGCAGACGGAAAAGGAAAAAAAAATCGTTAAAATCGGTATAATTTACTTATTCTGGCCATTCTGTGTAAAGCAAAAGCAAAAGACAGCGATTGAAGTATAATAAAAGGCACCTTAAGACAGAAAAAAGGGAAATATATTAAAATACACTGCAGTAGTTACAAACACTACCTATCCAGATAATTGTAAAAATAATCGAAACGTTGAAATCATTCTATTTAAGAATCTTTCTGACAAATGACATTGGCTTTGTACATTTTAAAATTATTCATCGCCCAAAAGAAGGCCCATATGATGGGATGAAACCCAATAGTATTTTACACAATTGGCGTCAGAAGTAAAAATGAGATCATTAACTCTGGGATTAAGACAAAACAAGGAGGCATCCAAAACAAATCCACAACTGTTAGTAATTGTAAGCAAAACAAAACCGCTGCTAAAAGGCGGCTTACAGCTTAAGAAAACAATACATTTACTGCCAATAATGCACATGGCAAACAAAATAGTTACCATTTATTTTATTCATCCGATAATCTTAAATATTAGTGCCTGCGTGAAATGTGCATTGGTGCATTGCCAGTTTAAAATACAATTCGGTTAGAGAGGGAAATGTGCACAATCGTATTTTTCGAGTGATTCTTGAGGAGCTTACCTACAATTATGGCATTTCTTGCACACGTACAGGTTTGAAATGTTCCCACTATATATATATTGAAAATATTCTTTTATTTTGGTGGTGAGAAGTGAACAGCTAGCTATTATGAAACAAAAAAAAATCTTCCCCGAGCATGAATATACAGTAACGTGCACGTGGATTGTTTGTACGTGTGACAAAGCCGCATCAAACTTTGCTGGCTGGGAGGGAAACAATGAGGCGAGGACACTGAGTTAAGCGGTCGGGTTCAGCCCGACACTTGTGAAGGTGGTCTGTCAGGACTCTGTTGTCTGGACAAGTACCTGTTTTCTCCAATATCTGCCACCATCAATGAAAACAGCAGAGGGACCTAAATCTTGTAACATTGCCTGGTTTATTTTTCGCTGTCAGCAATTGCCTTTTAAATACAGCCAGGAAGCATTTTTGATTTTGTTTTTGGCGGGATCCAGAGCTTACTTCCTGGAGAACAAGACAATAACGCAGAGATAGTAGGAACTGCAGATGCTGGAGAATCTGAGATAACATGGTGTAGAGCTGGATGAACACAGCAGGCCAAGCAGCATCATAGGGGCAGGAAGGCTGACGTTTCGGACCGAGACCCTTCTTCAGAATAACGCATCTCATCATATTTCCTGTACCTATTCAGTTTTGCAGAATTACTGTTTTGAAACATTTCCAACGAGTTGTGACGCATTTGTAAATATGAAACCTGTGCAGCCCTCTGAAGTGTTGTGAGGAATTATGAACAATAGCTAATAAGCAGCTCATTTCTAACTTAGAACGAGGAAGCTTATTTCAGGAACAAAAAGTTGCTGGAAAAGCTCAGCAGGTCTGGCAGCATTTGTGGAGGACAAAACAGAGTTAACGTTTCGGGTCCGGTGACCCTTCCTCAGAACAGCTTTTAAACTCCCATGTTCAGCTTTTAAACTCCCATGCATTATGTTTATTGGTCTAAAGATGGGGGATCTTTTGCACGAATTCAAATGTTGAGATACACGAGTAAGAAAATTCGCATCAGCGCCCTCTAGCCTTGATTCTTGTTTAACTCCGTGGGAGGATGGAACGTGTCTCATTTTCCAAGCCCTTCTTAATTGCAGACATTACCTGAATGTCGTTAATTTGCAGCAAAGAAATGAAAGTATATTTTGTTAATCAAGGAATTCGCGCTAATTTTAAAATATGCTTAAAATATACTGCAGATTTTCCAACATTTTACTATTTCTTTCTTTACCATTCGTCAGTGAAACTTTTTAAATAGGAAATTGAAATGTTAAATGCATGATGTGAATAGTTTCTAAAGAAGGAGTGTCGAGCTGCGAATTATTGGGTCTTGGTCTGATTTCCGTTAGCTCTGGCTAGAACAATTGGTTTTATCCAAGGAGTAAAATGTGTTTGGATTACGTGAGAATCTGTTCTCCAGACCTTCGCCAACATCTTCCTCTGTTATATAATACGCAACATTACAGCAAACATAATAAATTACATTAGGAAGGGATGTTTTCTACACAGTATGTTAATATAAATAGTAACACGGAGCATTCGTGTTTCAGTCAGCCGGTATAAAATGAAACAAATTGAAGACTTTATTAAAGATATCCACTTCAACTAGCCTAACAATTAATTATGCCGAACATTTATTCTATAAATACATTTATACATATATCATTGGCAGATCTCTTTTGTTTTAATATATAACACTATATGGTACATTCTATGAGAGAATCTCAAAGTATCCATGGAAACTGTTTTAATGTAAACTTTACTATCCCAGGGCGCCAAATTGCTTGTTGTGTTACGGGTTGTTAAAAAGAACGATTTCTGACTTTTTTAAAAAAACTGAAACAACTCATTCTGAACAATAAATGCTGACCGTTTCTTTATATAATAACGTGGCCTGTTAGAAACCAAAACTAACCTCGGCCAGACATCAGCCGTTTACTTTGAGTTGTTTAGAAAGAACCCTGCAGATTTACATGCGAAAGGCGACGGTTAAGTTTTGTTTTAAATAGTGAGATGAAATTGAATCAAAACGTTTTTATCACAAACATTCAGTATCAATTTGAAATAAATAATAGCAATAGTTAAGTATCAGTTGCCACGTTACTCGGTGAATTGTACTGTAACCTTTCATTGCAAGCTGCACAGAAAGTGGCAAGACCCTGTTATTGTTAAACGATCTGTCTGGAAACTTGTAGTGCTACCAAACAGAAACATGATATCGCTGATGTGGTGATATGTTATGTTGAGTGAAACTTATCTTTCCACTGTAAACGTGCTCTGAATAATATAGAGTGCTCTCCATTTTAACTGGCAGAGATATCCTTTGAGAAGGCCACGGAACGAAAAAAAGTGTTGCCTTGGCTCTGAAGTGTATCTGCAATATTTGCAGTTACAATAATAAGGTTTTAATAAGGCGCAAGTGCAGTGCACGACTTCATTTTATGGATTGTATTTATAAGTATTTATAAGACAAAAATGGAGGTAACGTTGTGATATTGCATCAAGTATATGTAATACCATATCGATATATACGAGATGGCCTACATCTAAATCTGTTGCACACTTTATGCACGTTTGGAGGACATGTGTGAATTTATATACATATAAAATAATTCATATTACAGGGTCAGGTTAGCGCACTCCAACACATTCAATTCAGACACTTCGAAAAATGAAATACATTATTCAGTATGCTACCATTATGTCCGACTAAATTATACTTAATCGTCTCCTTGCAAAATGGGTGATATTAATGTGAATAGATACACCACAGTGCACGGATTGAATGTAAAATGGGGAAACTACGTATTTATTTTCCGCCGATTGGCAGGTATCACTACTTATACTTTGAAAGGCCGCCCTGGAGGGTCCCATCTTATGTCTTCTGTCAGTCACCTTGTCGTCTGTGC